ACTCGAAGTTTATAATGTAAATCTGTTTTTAGTAAAGAGAATGTTTTATTTTCTATTTAAATTTTATAAATAGTTCTTTTGTAAACATTTTATACTGTATTTCGTTTTTGTAAATTATTCTGAAATATGAATGAACCTTTGCTCGAATCTGATTGGCTGTAGGATACAGAATAGGATACAGTACAGGCAACGCGGATCCCGTATTAGACCGCGTCCCCTCCGCGGTGTATTAATCCTTTCCGCGTTACACCGTCGCGGGTTTTGATCGCGGTGCTACCTGAGACCGTGTTTACACCGCGGCGGGGCCAGCTACCGTTATTCTTCAGCTAAGATGTTCTTACCTATAAAGTATTGTCGATTTTTAATCGTGTCGAAATGAGAGGGGGGGGGGGGGTTACGACCACATTAATATTATAGATTTATTCCATTACATGAATTCTTTAAAAATTCATTTTTTAAGTTTTATCAAATTGTTTAATAAAAAACATTTTTTTTTGTACCAATAGTCACTCAGAATTAATTCTCAAACACGTCTGTTAACAGTAATACATGTACAGTTTAGGATAAAATAAAGTCGAATAATTTATCGAATATATTAACTTAAAGTTTATTTTCAAAATCAGTACTGCCACTTCAAATTGCTAAAAAGATATAATTAAAATTTAAAGAATGCCGTGATATCGCTTCTCTTTATATGCGCTGGTGTAATCCGGTGTTCACAATTAGCCCGTGCAGTTGCAGTTACATGTAGCTATAGACATTGTTTATTTATCTGACGGTGAGATTATATCAGTCATTTGGTTTCATTTAGAAAACTACCGTTACTTCTGTATACATATCTGTTATAAATAATAGCATGAAAAACGATGATAGATAGTGATACATAATTAAAATTAAATTTTAACAAAACAAGCGTAAGTGTAGGAACACCGTTGTTCCATTATTATGCGCTACACTGTAAGACTATGAACTAAATATCGACGATTTTTATTTTATTTATTTATTTATTTTTTTTTTTGGGGGGGGGGGGGTTATTGTTAATAAAATAATCACAGGTCATTCTATTCAGAATATCAATAATATCATAGCTAGTATTTGAATGTATTTCTATTTTCCGCTCTTTTCGAAAATTACTAAAATCATGTCAATGAACATAAACAAATTTCAGATTTCTCCGGTTCAAATAAAACACAAACACAAATATGGGCCCTTAAAATATTTGAACACACAAGTTCAAGTTCAAGTTCAAGTTCATTTATTCACTCAACACCATTTTAATACATGGTACATGAGGACAAAGAGAAATATTTACAACATATATATATAATCAGGTCAGAGGTATATAAGTATAAGATATACAAAATCAAGAAATGAAAAGGGAGAAAAGAAAGAAAAAAATGAAGAAAAGAAAAAAAAGGAAAAATCACATGTGATACATATAATAATAAAATGAATGAGGGGAACAAATCATGGAGGACAGACTAAGTCATATATTTTTAATATAAACATACAGAGTTTTTTAAGTGACGTTGCATCTTGTTTTGTCATCAGTTGGGAAAATTTAAGAATATTTGGTCTTGTAAAGTAGTATTCATTAATATATTTCTTTCTTATATTTGACAGTGCAGAACATTCAAGTATAAAATGGAATTCATCAGCAACATGTTTATCATTACAAAATGTACATAATCTTTCGTTTAATGGTGTGCATGCCCATCTTCCCAGCTCAACTGGTAGACGGTGATTAGTAGTACGGAATTTGACAAGTATTTTTCTGAATTTTTAACGGCAAAAAACTTAAATAATTTTCGCCCTCAAATTTTGTTTTAAAAGCTTTATACAAAATACCTTTAGAGGAACTATTAATATCAGAATGCCATTTTTGTATAAATTGGTCCTGTAATCTTTGTTTAACAACAGAAGTAACCCAATCTTGACTAATATTATGATAAAACTGTTCATTCCAAATATGAGATAGTCCACATGAATCAAAAATATGATGAACACAGTCAATCCAAGGATTTTTACCAATTTCAGATTGTGAATTAGCAATTAAATATTGATATAATATACATGAAATTTTCTTCTCTGTGCAATTCAATAATTTACACCAGTATGATACTATTCTTGGATATATAATGATAGATAGTGGAAAACGTCCTGTTTCACCATAAACCATATAATTCGGGGTACTACTTTTCAAATACAGAATATGTTTTAAAAATTTTAAGTGTACACGTTCAATAATATCTAAATTTTCAAAACCCCAGATTTCACTACCATAAAGTAACACTGGTAAAACCATTTTATCAAACAAATCGAATTGACATTCTATAGGGAGGTTAAATTGTCTTATTTTCCTGATTACACCATACATTGCTTTTTGGGCTTGGTCACAGAGATGTTTCAATCTTTGCTTTTAAAAAGGAGCCAGATCTTGAAAAAATGATTCCAAGATATTTAAATTCTTTTACAGTTTCTAGACTCTTGTTATTATAGTAAAATACCCTTTTGCACAAAGGACCTTTTGAAAAAATTAATATTTTGGTCTTCTCAATATTTACTTGTAATTTCCACTCTGAACAGTAACTTTCAAATTCATTCAAAGCATTTTGTAGATCCTCAGGAGTTTCTGCTAAAATTACAGTATCATCAGCATATAAGAGTATAAGAAGTTTCAAATAAACACATAAATCATTTTCTATTGAAGTTGTAAGGCTTTGTAAACCGATTATATTCCTATCAACAAGATAATTCTCTAAATCATTAATGTACAAGGAAAATAAAAAAGGAGATAAGTTTTCTCCCTGCCGGACTCCGACATTACAAAAGAAAAAATCGGTTGTTGTGCCGTTCATCTTTATAAGTGATTTAATTCCCTTATACATATTTGTAATATACGTGAAGCATTTGCCTTTAATTCCATAATTTAAAAGTTTACTCCAGAGACCGTTTCTCCAAACAGTATCAAACGCCTGCTTAAAATCTATAAACGCACAAAAAAGTTTTTTCTTACACTTCATCAGTGTGTTTGATAATAAATGTAAAGTCAGAATATGGTCTAAAGTAGAATATTCCTTCCTAAAACCTGCTTGATTCTCTTGAATAAGTTTAATCTCATCTGCGTACAGTTCTAATCGCTTGCTTAGTATACATGTGAAAAGTTTACCTAAGCAGCTCAATAAAGTAATAGGACGGTAATTTTCTGGGGTGGTCGGATCGCCCTTATTTTTGTAAATAGGTTTAACAATACCCACTAGCCACTCATCTGGAACCAGTCCACTATCGAAAATAATGTTAAAAAACATCTTGTACACAGGTAAAAAGGTATACAATGTTGATGAAATATGCTCATTTACAATGCTATCAATACCAGATGCTTTTCCATTTTTTAATTTATTTACTGCTTCTATAATTTCACTTTCACTAATTTCACCATTAAGTATATCATTAGAAGATTCACCCGATTCTGGTTCTCTATCAGACAGATCAAAAGCATTCTCATCAGCTACATTGTTACATTCATTAATACTTTTCAAATATTTAAATACCTCTTCAATATTTACTGCACTCTTTGACTCTTTATTGGTAGAATTTAATATTTTCCAGTAAGCTTTAGTATTTGTAGTACGTAATTGCATGAGTTTACGAGTAAGGTCAGCTTTATATTTTCTAATACTATTATCCATAACTTTTTTATAACTTCTACTCGTTTCTATAAGATTTTGTTTGTTTTCTTCTGATTTATATAAGTTATGCATTCTTTTAGCCAAGTGAAATTTTCTTCTAGCTGTTTTGCATTCTCTATTAAACCAAGGTTTGTTTCGTTCTTTATCCTTTGAATATTGACCCGTTGAATAGATTCCAAAAGATTGTTTGGCTGACTTAGTAAAAATATTACAAATATCTTTTGCTACCTTATTAATGTCAGTACTTGAAACATCATTATTATTCATTTCGATAAGGTCACGCTCAATTGATTTCACAGCTGAAATATCGATATTATTACAAAACTCGGCTTTTCTATCGGGGCGCCATAATTTTACACCTGGTTGATTTTTACACGTGGAGCTATTTTTAGACATTGAACAGGTGGACAAAGAAAAAGACAATGGATTATGTACATCTGAGAAAAGATTAGAGAACTCGTGTACTTCAAAATGTTGTAAAAGTTCAAAAATTTGTACACTGGCAATAACATAGTCCACAGTACTACTGTTTTTACAAGTTACACAACCTTTGTTTTTGTCGGTACCAAATCTACTATTTACGATGTACAAATCATTGTTTTTACAAAAATCTATAAACTTATGGCCAAAATTATTGACAATAGTATCTTCAACACATCTATCTAAAGGAATATCATATTTTTCAAAAATAAAAGCCCTTGATAACATAGAAGCTTCAAATGCACCCTCTGAATGATTAACATGTGTCAAAAAATTATCTGCGGTAAAATAATCCTTTAAATTCCCTACTCTAGCATTAAAATCTCCCATTAAACATACGTATTTTTGGTCTTTTGAAACATTGATGAGTTCTTGTTCTATTTCTATATAACAATCTGTACAAGAATATTTACTAGATTCCGGCGGTATATACACAACTCCACATATCAAATCTTCACATGTTTGAAAAAGTGACTTATTTAACTTAAACCAGAACACATATTTACAATCAGTATTTACAATCTTAACATACTTCATGATTTCATCACGCACAGCTAATATCAGTCCACCCGATCTTATTTTTGAAAGTTTATTTCTGTTTTTCATAAAAGTTGTGTATCCTGTAATATTAATTTCGTCAGAATTATCTGTCTTTGTTTCAGTAAAAGCCAGTATGTCGTATTGGGTAATAAATTCTTTAAATTCGTTATAATTGAGACGGTTTTTAATACCACAGACATTTAGAGATAGAAAATTCAAAGTGTTTTTTGTTCGATCAGGTGTCAATACAGAGTCATCATGTTTTGTGGATGTCTGCTCTCCCGCGCCCCCCTAGGCGTCGTTACGGTTCGGAGTAGATCCAGTGCGCGGTCTCTTCTGGGATGGTCGCTCGCCCCTGGGTGTTTGGTGATTTTGGCTCCACCGATTTCCGTGTGAAAACTTCCCGGAGGAACTGGAGGATGCTGCTTCATCCGACATCTCCGTTATCAGTGGGGGTGGGGGTGTATACACCTTCCCGTTGATATATAGCACATCCCGAACTAGCTTGGTTTTACATTTGTCTAGTCTCGCCTGTCTCATTACGGGGTAGAGTTTTTTCCTCCTCTCCTCAATTTCTGCCGGGAACTGTTCGTTAACCCAAATGTTACACCCATGGAGTCTGTGTGGCGCTTTGGTTCTAATGTATTCCCGGTCCTTGAAGTATGTGAATTTTGCGACAATATTTCTGGGTCTATCACTAAATTCGGTGAACTTTCCCATCCTGTGGACCCGTTCAAATGAAAGCTCGTAGTCAAGCTTGAATTTCTTCCGGAGGAAAAGTTGTAGAACCCCCTCTGTGTCCTCTCCCTTCTGTTCAGGAATACCTGAAAACACTAGATTGTCTCTCATCGATCTTGCTTTTAAGTCGACAATGGAGTCTCTAATTTCCGCATTTTCTTTATTTATTAATTGCAGGTCTCGTTCAGTCTGTCTTTGTGCCGCTATTTGTTCACAACCCACTCTCTTAATCTCATTTTTATTACTATCAGCTTGTTTCTTAGCCGCTTCCGCTGTGTCCTTCACAGAGTCAAATACTTGCCCCAAAGAACTTACATTTGACTCAAGATCTTTGAATTCACTTCGAATGATCTTTATTTCAGAGTCTAGATCAGTTACTTTTGTCTTGATTTTGGCCACATCACTTTGGATAACATTTAATTGGGACATCTTGCTCTCGATTTCACTGAGTCTAGAGTTCATTTGAATAAGCAATGTGTGTATTGACTGTAATGATACCTCATTGTCACTGTTACTGGGGTTGGAAGTATTCCCGTAGATAATTGAATTGGATTCAGCCATTATTTGGACCGTATCTGAGATAGACATGGCTATTTATACACATACACATACATAGCCCAGAACGTAACTTGAGTAACCTGAGTACAGTTCATCTAGAGTTGTCCCCACATGTGAAACAATAAAACAGTCTCAAAGTAATCAAAATAGGAAAGTAATGCACATGCTGTTAAATGTCAGTCAATACATATACACGAAGACGTTACCTGACAATTTTTTGACTCGAACATACAAATACATCGTTGTTATAAACAAAAATTTCCGGAGCCCTTACACTGACCACTTCACGACTCCATGATGACCTCTGACCTCTGACACAACACAGAAATTAACTTATTTTAATCAGCAAGTTGCCAAGCTTCAAGTTTTCAGATGTCTGTGTTACCGTTCGGTTTTCCTCAGGTAAGTTTGGTGTGGAGTGGAGCTTACTCGAAGCGGATGAGAAGCCCCGAGGGAACGACGCTGTCTAGTGTACATACTACCTATATACACAGGATGTTACCTGAGTGTATTACCTGTATGCGTTTTCCTACGACATTGTAAAACGAAGCCGTTCTTTTTCATGTGTAGCTCATGGATTGAAATGCATGAAATAAAGAATTCAATGTTTTTGTTGCAGACAGAATCCTTTTTAAATTTTTTGTTTCAAATAAATATTTTCACAATTCGACAATTTTAATATACTGTGTTTTTCTTAATCAAATTTTATAACAAAAATACATTTTTTTTACCACCAAAATCTGTCGTTGTAATCTGGCGACAAAAAGGGAAGTAATTCAGATTACATGTCATGTACATATGCTAAACGAAAGAAGAAAGTGCATCATAAACAAGTCTCTCGATAAATAACAATAAAACTTAGACAAAATCTACAAATGGTCAATAAACTGATAAATCAGCGGTAGTTTTATTCGCTGAAACTATTATTGATATACTGATCAAAAAGGAGGAAAAACGATCATGCACGTGCCTTAATATTGTGATATTTTTCTTCTCTCTCTCTCTCTCTCTCTCTACTAACTGGTACAGATATAAACAGACACGAAATAACATAGCAATGGATCATTATTTGATTTAATTAATATCCAATACTTCATTAATTTGTTTTAAAAGTTTGCTTTTTTTTTTACTTTTATTCTTTTTATACACTTCGTTTAAAAAAAGCAACAATAATTTGACACAAATTCCAAGGCTAATTAATATCATCTGAAAATGATATCGATGAAATAATAATGAAACAATGAATCAAATGTGTTGTTGAATGGTTAGACAACGATGTGCACATCCAGCGAGCGTTACCCAAGGTATACTCTAAGACAGGTGTGAAACCCAAAGGGCATGTCGTTTCCTGCTCAGGCACTGCTAATCCCTATACACAGGAAATGATCGCGGCTAATACTTAATACACAAAGAGACAGAATTTGTCAAAGAAAACAAAAATATATGAATTTTTGCATTGAATATTTATTAATATAAACTATAATTTCGTCTGTGAAGTTTATCATTACACCTGCACATCCTATTTTATCTATTGAACACGAAAATCGAGAAATATTAAAATTAAAAAGAAAGACATTGTTTTAAAAAGTAATACATGTTAATAGGAAGGTGAAAAACGATATTTTTTCTTGATCTCTTGTATAAAGTTCACGTGCTCAAAGTTAACTCTCGCCATCGAATGCTTTTCGGTCATTTGACAATTTGAGAAAAATGCCTGCACATTTATATAAAAGAGGGAAATAAATTAAAGAAAAGTTTTCTTAATTTGGGAACAGAACATAAACGATGAGAAATAAAGAAGAAAAGAACTTTTTTCGTGATATCTTGGATAAAGAAAATTTAAGTTCACGTGCCCTCTACATGTAACTGCAAATGCTCGTCATCGGATGTTTTCCGGTAATTTGACACTTTAAGAAAAAGCCTGTACACTTTATAAACAATAAATCGAAATTAATTAATAAACAATATGAAGATGTACATTTTTTAAAAGATGTACATCTTTTTTTCAAATGAATGCTGAAAATAGTTTATCGAAACTTAAACAGTCTGAGTTCAACATTTATTACAGTTTGCATATAATATGAAGATTAAAAAAAAAACTAATTAAAATTTCTAGTATTTGATTTTGTTTCTTGATAGATTCTTAATAACAAAAAATAATTAACCATTGCAAAGACTTAATTTTCTATTCAATTTCAAATATTGATATGTAATTTTAGAAACAAAAATAAACTAATTTATTTTTTTCTTAGTTTAAATTCTATTCATAGCAAAATCAATTAATAAACACACGGTTTTTTGGTGTTTTTGTTTTTTTTTTTTGTTGTTTTGTTTGTTTGTTTGTTTGTTTGTTTTTTTTTTTTTTTTTTGTTTTTTTTTGTTACAGGGAAAATTCGCAAATTACAATTCGGGGAGATAACTCCCGTTTGTTTACGATACTAATTGTCAGTAATTGATCGATGATTTAACCGCGGCGGGGACAGGTAGGTGATGAAATTCCCGCGGAGGGAACGCGGTTTACCTGTCTACCTGGCCAAATACCGCGTTGTGATTATACCGCGGCGGGGACGCGGGAAATACGGGATCCGCGTTGCCTGTACTGTAGGATAGGATTGGATTAATTTCTATATGTTCCTATCGTGAATCCTCAATCCTGAATCCTATCCAATCCCATCCAATGTCAACTTGTGGGATAGCAGCACTGTAAACATAGAATAAGAAGAATACACCATGATTTATTAGTAAGTATAATGTTTATACTGTTAAAGTTTGCATACATGAAAATTGACAATATTAATTGAGTTGATAATTTTATCATATTTGTGCGTTCACGCAACATACATGTATATATTCATCTGTTCTTTACAGCAATTGTTTGTTGATGGATTGAAATTCATTTGTTTTCTCATATTTTCTCATGTATTAAACTGCAGTGCGTGTTACTTAATTAGATTATTACATTGTATTGCTTGCAGTTCATACATATATTTTACTTAGTACATGTATACTTTGAAAGCAAGTTGCAGCTTTGAATCGTTGTGCCTTTTTTAACACAGACGTTGCTTCTGGATGTAAGGATGTTTATAAAATTCCCGATAATACTCTAAAAGAATAATAGTTTCATTTAATCAATATCAAAATACTTTATACAAGATGTGCTATTCCCAAGCTCAGATCTAAAAGGGGTCTGGACACCCCTCCCTATCACACAAAAAATATACATTAAATAATCAAATATATAAGATTGGAAGAGGAATACTACCTTTGAAGCTTAAGAAGTGAAAGAAAGCAGTTATACTTCTAAATCAACACGCCGATCCACCCATTTACAAAATAATATAAGTTTATCATCTTTCAAGGGAGTGTACATTTTTTATTTGGATTTTTTCGTTTTTGCTTATTAAAAAAGAAGAAGTCTCAATAAGGCATTATCGGTGGTCCCCGGTTACTCGTCAAATTTCAAACTTTTATTAAAAAACTTAAAAAGCAAATTATATTATTTTCTCATGTCTGTAGTATTTGTGTCAAAGTTTAAAAATGTCAAATAATTGATATAGACAACACGCGAAGCTGTGTTTTGAAGGTGGGGTCCTTTGATTTTCATGAATATCAAAAGAAATTTGTGACAGGTACCTACTTCTCAGCTTTCGTAAACATCGAGCGCAGATTTGTTCAAAATCGAGATTAAAATATGATATGTATATTATATTAATACAGATTGTGTGAAAATATCTTTGTTGAACAACCTTGCGCTGTATGTTTTCTACGTAAAAGTAGCACGATTTTGAATCTGCTTGGTGAGTATATTTACATAAGACAAGTAGAGCTTTTTTAAAAAGCTTACCGTCTTTAGCAACAATCTTATACAGTAAGCTGATCTACACCTATCAGGCCGTATAATTCTTTTCAATTTTGTATTTCTACATTAGCTTTTTACTGGCATTAGCCCTACCACCGTTGTCGCTCGGTCCTCTCCGTAAACATTGACTGACCGAGAGCTTTCGGCAAACCTCGGCTGATTCCATTCCCTTCTTCAAACAAGAAAGGGGAAAAGAATAATAACAAATTGTAAAGCCTGCAAGCTTCAAATTTTATTTATAATGAAATTAAAGAGACATATTTATTTATTGCTATAAAAAATACCATGTTATTAAGAATTAGTTACTGCTGATTTTGCTGTGCGTTTTGTCATTTTTTTAAGATTGGAAATCTTGCAAAATTGTTAAGTCGTACGAAAATTAGATCATCAGAAAGTTATCTCCCTTGCCTTGTACAGCATTTCAACCAATGAAATAATTGAAAATTTTCTCATCATGCAATTTCTACCAATCACAAAAGAGAGGAAGTGCATAGTCCGAAGACTGTAAAAATTTTCAACTATACAATACCGTCTTCCAAGGAAGACGGTAATAAACCTCTTCTTGACCTGCTAAGAATAGATAATATGTCATGTGATTCCATTCCGCCACAGGTGAATACCTCCGGAAAGCATGTTTTGTCTAGGAATCGACACAGTAGCTCATATTTGAAAAGTGCAGTCACTCAAAACAAGATTCTATAGACTTCGAAGAATATCACTCATGTTTTAAAATTTCAAATGGTGATTTTCATGGACATATATATTTTAATTCTCATACATGTAATCGCAATTTTACTGGGCATTGCGAACAACAAAATACTGTACGAGTAGATGTATAAAAATACACATTTAATCAATTTCTTGCGAAAAATAAAAAAAACAAGCAAAAATACCAAAGACGATACAATTTCTTCACATTTAATCAGTCTATAAAAATAAATGCATTGTACTGATCACTTCAATATTCAAAGAAACCTTACACTTTTGTCACGTTTTGGGGTGCATAGTAACTCGGAAAAACTTCGAATGTATTAATGCAACGAAGTAGATGAATATTGAATTTGAATTTCATTTACCAATCTTGTAATATTTATTATTAAGAATCCTTATAAAATATAATAATTATGTTTCTATTATTCAACAA